ACACTATCGCTGCCATTAACAGCAACGATGATAATTGCCAACATTGGTTATGTTTTTGCTATGTCAGAAGCTGTGTGTTTTACAGTTTTGATGCCATTTCATCTGGCTTAGGGGCGTTCGTTAACTTGATCAAGGTGATGCAGCTGGAAAGTGGCTGAGCATGGCTTGGAACCTTGGCAATCTGTCTCCAGAGGCAGCTTTTCACCACTACGTGGTTCTTGCTAACAGAGGACTTGGCCCTGGGCTGGAAATCACATTAGTTAACATTTATCGAATGCTTATTGTGTTTCAGGTGGCCTTCTAAGTGCTTTTTATGTTTCAACTCCTTTCATCCTCACCAAAACCTATGCAGTGGGTAATTATTATTCCATTTTAAATGTGAAGAAACTGAGATGTGGAGAAGTGAAATAACTTTCCCAAGGCCACAGGAAAGTCAGGGAGGCAGGATCTGAGCTAGGGAGGCTGACCGTGGGGCCAGGTCCTACCGAGCTCCAGTAAGCCGCCAGCCAACCCCTGAGTGCCTTGTGCAGCTTCCCATTGGCACTGTGGTCTAGCTCAGTGGTCCCCAACCATTTTGGCATCAGAGACTGGTGCTACTAAGAGAATCTAATGCCTGATGATCTGAGGCGGAGCTGAGGCCGTGATACTAGCACTGGGGAGCAGCTGTGAATACAGATGAAGCTTCGCTCGCTAGCCTGCCACTTACCTCCTACTGTGCGACCTAGTTCCTAACAGGACATGGACCAATACCAGTCCACAGCCTGGAGATCTGGGACCCCTGATCTAGCTGTTTGCAGGTCTGTCCCCATCTCTCCATGATGCTGCAGGCTCCTCGATCACAAAGCTCGGGATTTATTCATTCTCAGAGCCCTTTCTTAGAGCAGCATATTCTTTCAAAGAGAAGCTGCTCAGGAAATGTTTGGTGAGTGAATGAGTGCATCTGACCAGGAGGCAGTGGACCGTATTGGTACTGAGACAGTTCAGAGGCCCAAAGGAGAAGGCTGTATCTCAAGATACTGGGTCAAGATTTATCCTCAGTGCTAGCATAAGTATGATATCACCTGTGTGGGTCACTTTTTGTCATTATGAAAGGAGACATTTCTTTCTAGTGACACAAGAACCAGAAAATTAGATTTTCAGAATGTCGGAGCTGGAAGAAGTCTGAAGTAGCATTTCTTCCACCTCCTTCCTTTTACAGAGAAAGATGCTGAGCACAGAGATCAGGACACTTGCTCGAGACCACAATGCAGTCTCAACTCCCTCCCTAGGCCAGCGCTCCATGGGGTATCTGTGGATACCTAGGGTATCTGTGGAGCCCCTTCGCCACTTTCATGAGAGATGGATGAGGGGTCGAGGGTGAGGAGGAAGTTCTAGGTTTCTCATCATTATTTCAATAGTCAACTCAGCTTTTTATCTATTTCATATACTGGGATTCCCTTTACAAGTTCATTTTTACAAGGAGCCCTCTGGCTGAAAAATAAATGTCTAAAACCACAATTGTAGTATACCATGATGCAGGTTTGAAAAAAATTCCGAAGTACTTTTACAACATTTAACTCTTTTGCTCCTTGCACTTGTAGCACAAGCAAGTTTGGAATTATTTTCTCTGTTTTACAGATGAGAAAACTGAGGCTTGGGGAGGAGATCAAATGATCTAATTCATACAGACTATATAGCAGAGTAATGGCAGGGCATAGAAGCCAGGTCAAGGACCTCAAAAGTAAGATTATTTAATATAATTACTACAAACTTGGGAGAAAGTCTGGCAAATATAATTGTCATTTTTTTCTCCCTCCATAGATGATACTAAGGTGTTTTCATTTCCTTCCTTTTCTCCTCCTCTTCCTTTTTCTTTCTTTCCTCCCTCCTTTTCTCCCTTACTTTTTCTCTCTTCATATTCGTCACAGGTTTAGCTGTTCATACTCAAACTGTACAACCATCAGTATAGAGAAAGTTGCTTCCTTTGACATGCAATCAATTTCTTTAAAATCTACATTGTGTCTATAGGTATTATTTTAAAAAGTGGGGGCTCGATGGTCAAGAGACTGGTCTCTGGCATCAGACAGAGCTGGTTTAAAAGGCAGACTTTCCTAATTACTAACTAACTGTATGACCTTGGGCCAGTTACTTGGCCTCAATAGGCCTCAGTTCTTGCTCAATAGGCCTCAGTTCTTGCTAGTACCTGTCTTACAAGGCTGCTGTGAGGATTAAATGAGTTAATGCATGTGCAACAATGAGCATAGCGCATGGTTCATATTAAGTTGTCAGTAAACGAAAAAAATGATATTCAGTAGAGTAATGCTCTATGTTTTTCATCATTTAGCCTAGTTGAAGGCTAACAGGCTTCTATATTGCAAAACATTTCAGTTTCCATTTGCTATTGAATATTATCAATCTCCACAAGAAGTATATATTGTGGAGCATTTCTCAAATGCTTTTGACAATGTAAACCTCTTTACATGCAGAATATCATAGGGCAATCGGTCCCTAAACCATAAAACATTGCTCTAAAATAAGTTATTTTGATAATAGAGGGGGGGTAGAGGGAGAAGCAAGATAAATCTGTGTAGTCATAAGATTTATATGACTTAGAAAGAGACTTCAATTTTTAAGGGTAGTGGTCCTTCAAAGCTAGTATAATGGCACTGGTGTTAAATTGGAGTCTATAAAAATTATTGTATAGCTTGATTTATACATTGCTCCTTTGATATCAAAAGCTACAGGAATAGATAAATGTTGTAAACAAGCTTATTTTATTCCTAATCTTTTTTTTGTAAGGAAATAAAACAGTATTGTCAGTCAGAAAAGCAGGGTAATGCCAAAACTCAGCTTGTATCTCATGTAAGCTAGCAGGCTGAAAAATCTAGTTTCACAGTTTGATAAAAAGAAAGCTGGCAAAGATTTTTGAAAAGACACAACACTCAGAGATGAGAGAACAAATTTCCCTTTCTTAGAGAAATGGGTTGGATTATTAGACAGCACTTCAATTCTCTACTGAGGATATGCAAGAACTTTGATTCTACCTGAAAGTAAATCAGAGTCAGGAGTTTGGTAAAGATTTGGGTTCACCATTCAGGAGAGGATTTAAACAATTCTCACAGTGAGAGGTCTTCTGAAACCACTTATAATTTTTGATCTGTTTTTCAACTTCCTCTAAAGATTCTTTGAATGTAGGAAATGAGTCTAGATGATAGATCAGATATTTTTAAGAGAATAAAGTTTTAAAAAGAGATGATCATAGAACAGTAAATTCAATTGATCTACCTTGCACAGTCATTAAATCAAATTTACACATTTGTGCCTCTAGACTATCTTTGAAGTCATAGCTCTTGACATCCAAATGGGAGACCATTATAATCGGTTTTTTTAAAATAGGTTGCCTATTGTAGCAAAGACAACTAGATGACCACCAAGATTCTTATTCTACTTCCATGGCATAGAGGTGTTGGTGGAAGTGGCTACCTAGACAGCAATTTCATTTCCCAGTCTGCCTTGTGTCTAGGTGGGCAAGATGATTGGCTTCTCACCAATGGAATCTAGGAGAAGTGATGCACATGTTTCTTAGCCTGACTCCCCCAAACCTCAAGCACAGTTTCCACTTCCTTTCTTCTTCATCTGTTAGCTGGATGTTGATAGCCAGAAAGACCCAAGCAGACAGTGGAGCCTCCATAAGGCTGAGTATTTTAACCAGAGGCCTTAGCCCCCAAAGTGGTGACCAGGTAAACAAGAATTAAACTTCTACTGCATTCGACTGCTGAGATTTCAGAGTTTATCTGCACCTAGGGTTATCTTAACTATACACTTAAAAAATTTTAACTTAACAAGTTTATGTGTGACTTTTTTTGAGTTCGACCTGAGGTGTTCTTTCATTATTTGCTGGCAGATCTATGGAAATATGGATCAGAGCAGTATGCTCCCTGGTTGCCCAGCAACATTCAATGTACTGTCTAATCATTTAATAAATCACACTCATTTGTTTGTGCTTACTCTGTGTCAATATAGCATAGGCACTGGGGATATAATAAGTAAATCACCTGTGGACCCTGCTTTTAGACATTTAGCCCTGACTTTAGACATTTTAGTAGCAAAGAGGTGGAAAAGAGGGAAAGAAAGAGAACACGCATCAAGACCAGGGTCGGCAGACTATCTGCAAAGAGCCAGACAGTAAATATTGTAGGATTTGTGAGTCATACAGTCACTATTAGAACCACTCATCTCTGTTGGCATAGTGGAGAAGCAGTCATAAACAAAATATAAACAAATGAGTGTGGCTGTGTTCCAAAAAACTTTATTTATGGACATCGAAATTTTAAATTCATGTAATTTTCACACTATTTCACTATTTCAGGAAATATCATCTTTTGATTTATTTCAACCATTTAAAAATATAAAAACATTAGCTCATGGGCTATACAAAAACAGGTGGTGGGCTGCTTTGGTCTGCAAGCTGAAGTTTACTGACATCGATCTAGATCAGTGAACTGAGAATATATCAGAAGAAATAAGTACTATGAAAAAATAAAATGGAATAATGTGACTATGCTGCGTTGGTGGGGGCTACATTAAATAGCTTGGTCAGAGATGACCTGAAGGACATGGAAATACAGAAATAGGTAATGCCAGGTAACAATGGGCCAGAGAAAGAGGAGCAAGAACTGAAGTCACAGAGAAGCAGTGTCTAGGATTCTGAAGGCCAAAGTGTTATCTGCAACAGGAAGCTAGTGAAAAGTTTGAAGCAGAGGAGCAATATAACCTGATGTATATTCGAAAGTTATTATCCAAGCTGTTGTGGTGGAAAAAAGTCATATCCTCTTGTAGAAGGTCAAGTTCATGGACAGCAGGACTAGTGGCTGGTAAAGAGGCTCCTGAAGGAGTCCAGGCAGGTGTGGAAATGGCTTGGGCTCTGGGGCTGGCAGTGGAAAAGTGAGAAGTGGTCGAATCAAAGCTGTGTCTGAGAGCTGTAACGGGATGTGGTATGTCCAAAGTTGGGTGGCAAAGGATTTAAAGCGAAACTTCCAAAGAACATATGGAATGGAGGGCTGTGAATTCTTTGAGACTTTAAACTGACTTTGACATCAGCAGGACTTTATGTCACTATAGTTTTCTTTCCTTTCCAGTTATACACAGGGTCAGAACTAGGGATAACAAACTCAGGGCAAGGGGACTGAAATCAAGTTGAAATGAGAAGTAGATGCCTACAACCTGGTCCAATGGTGATGGACAAGGATGGTTAAATCAACAATGCTGGTCCCTTGATGAAAGACCTTGGAGAATTTTCCCT